CTGCCGAGGATGGGGGAGGGAATCATAAAAATATATATATGGAAGGATCAGGTGAATTTTTTCGGTACTCCCCCGAATCCCCTTCCCACCCTTCCTTCGAAAAAGGGAGTTTCGAGTTATTTTGACAGAACTGACAAAGAGAAAGATTTTAATTGAATAGTTCCGTCTTACGTGTGATCTGATAAAAAACAAAAACAAAAAACAAAAAATACGACGTCCTTGGTAACCTTGGGCAGGTATTGTTTCTTTCTGGCCTACGTGCAGTCCCTCCTTTTCGGCGAAGTCCGTCGCGCGAGTAAAAAAAAACTAGTGAGAAAAAATTTCTGTAAGCGCGCGGCGGGAACTCTCTTGGAATGTTGTCGATGGACCGCAGGAGCCCCCTGAATGAGGAGCTCGAAAAGTTCGAGCGCTTTACTCTTAGACCTACTGCGGCGCATGGGCGTCACTCCAAGAGCTTCCCGCGGCGTGCAAACATCAACTTCTTTTTTTCACTGATATTTTTTTGATTTGCGCGACGGACTTCGTTTTAAAGGAGAGACTGCTGGTAGTCAAATAATTGATAGCCCAACCACTCAACTTACGTTTGCAGTCGTTCAGCGGTATTCCCCAGTAACCACTTTCGCAGGCGCAGCAGCGAGGACCTCCGTAACCAGGCTTACATTTACACTGGCCGTCATCCTAGGCAAAGATATAACTCAGTAATAACGAATACGAGCAAATAGGAAAGAGAGGAGACTGGTAAACTAGACTGTTAATGCACCCTCTGGAGCATTAAATGCTTGTTTACTAACCTGATTGCAAGTGGCCTGGGTCGAGCCCTCTCCACAACAATCGCACTTCTGACAACCCTTACCGCTGCCTAGGTTCCAGAATCCGTCGGCGCACTTGTCACACTGAATACCAGTCACGTTTGACAAACACGTGCACTGGCCGGTCTCGTAATTACACGTGTCAACAAAACTAGAGTCCGTGCCATTAATGTTACATACGCACTCTGAAAAACAGAAAAGCGTTATTACATCTAGCGCATAATTAACCCAACAAAACATTAAATTACAGAGCAGCTCACAGTTCTGATTTGTGGTTTTTTCATGTCGTTCGCTCAAATGGGTGCAGTTTATCTTCCCGAGGAAGCCAGACCGAAATGAGCCAACCCGTGGGACCTCACTTAATCAGCGTGATTCAAAGCTCTTGTATGAAATTGAGGCGCAAAGATACCAGCATGGGATCGAGGCCATGTGTATCAGTCAGTCAGTCTAAGATGGCGTCAAAAAGCTGAAACGGTCTGGCTTCGGATTAATATCAGCGGGATATCATAAAACCCGCAGGACTGAAAAACGACATGAATGGTACGAGTTCTCCTTCGTCGAACGTAATTTAAGATAGAACCACGTATCATAACATAAGAAAAACAGTCCCTCAGGAAAGTACAGCTCTCTAGGTTTCCTTTTGATGGTCTCCCACAAAGATTAATCAACAGACGTAAAAAGCTACCGTCACCATGCACAGCGTGATAAACAGTTCTTACTAGTACAATTCCTGGTAATAGCGTCACCATGGAAACCAGATTTGCAGCGCTCACAGCTGAAGCCAGCGGTATTGTAGAGGCAGGCTAAACATCTGCCAGTCGTTCTGTCACAGTTGCCGACATTTGATGGATCGATGTTGTTGTTACAAGAACAAGGTTTACAACGACCGCCTGGAACCAGTGGGTTACCATAGTAACCGTCAGCGCATTCTTCACAACGCGTTCCCCTGTAACCAACCTGCAAAATAAATGAAATCTTTTATTTATGAGGAAAAAAGCGTAATAAAAGAGGACGTTTCCAGGGAAAATGTGGTGCTTCGTCGGTGGGGGCACAAAATGATAATTTGCTTTTATCAACTGAGTTGATAATAAGTATGCGAGCGATCTTCGCAATAATGAACATTACTTAAGCGGTTGTGAAAATAGGGCCTGAAAAGAATTCAGGCCTGCACGGGATTCGAACCTATGACCTCTTCGATACCGGTGCAGTGCTCTACAAACTGAGCTAACAAGCGCTAACTTGTTAGCTCAGTGGAGTTATGGCTGCAATAGAATAAACGAAAAAAAAAAAAGAATTTTATCAGTATAGTCGTAGTAAGACAGATTCAGAGAAGGAGGAAGAAGGCTCGTTGGGAAAGGGGAAGCAAATAAATCATTCATTTAGTGTTCACCCCTAGACTCCCAGGAGTAACCAAGAAGGAAATTTTCCCTAAAATATTAATACATTTTCAAGCAGACAAGTAATAGGAATATAGAAAAGTACAAAGCGGGGGATTATTGGTTGATCCCAAACCAAATTCTCTAAACTGACATCATAAGAACTATATAGAAGACAGTGAGGAGAATTTTTAAATGAGATCTTGAAAGCTTAAGGGGAAGGACCTGCACGCAAGGAAAGCTGTTATCGATGACAATTAAGGATTCCGTGGCACACGCGCTCTCGCGCACACGCGCACACGCGCGTTCGTTGACTAGAATTCCTCGACACTGCGAGTGACACGTATGTGATAGGCGCGTGTCCAAACATAAGCTGATGGTGGCACTTACTTCACAAGCGTCACAAGCAAAAGAGTCCGGTCCAGTTGCGCGACAAGTGGCACTAAATTGGTTTCCAGTGCCACCGCCTGGGCACTGGCAGCGACGGCAATCTTTTGGTGTCCCTGGGGAAAGACAACACTGGCTACTGAATGAGAAAGGTGGCTTAGGTCTATCCTGCACGGTTAGACACAAATGAGTCAAAAATGTGGAAAAACAAAACGAGTTTTCAGCCATCTGCTTTACTTTCACATCGGAACGCCGTAAATTGAACCTTGTCTACCTTGCGAAGTGTTTTTCGTGAAACATTTATTCCCAGCGCAGAATCACTGTAACGTTCAATCGAAAGCTATCGAGAAGAAACAGACTTTCAGCTGACACTACACTCCCTAAACTAACACACAAGGAAACGTCTATTAAATTAACTGGCAAGGAGAAATGACTTGAACACAGAATTATTATACTTTAATCACTATTGTAACTTTAATAAAACTAAGTATGCAAACGATTGCCTAATTCAGCCTATGGGCTGTAATGTGATTTTAATAAACACCTACCTACCTAAAAGAAAATAAATAAAAAACTTTACGAATAAAGCATTGCGAGTTAGTGCATTTTTCGCTATGTGCCAAAAGTAATCTCGTCCTGTTATTTTTTTCTTTACTTCGCTCTTCTCTCTTAACCAATCAGATACAAAACTAGAACCAATCACAACTTGGTCGCGTGCGTTTCCCGCGCTTTACGTTGGTTGATTTTACTTTCAGTTCTTATTGGCTCTTATGGTACTTTCCTTTCTTTTGGGGGGCTGTTATGATTTGGTTGGTTTTGGTTTTACGAGACTCAATCGAAAAGAACTCTTGAAGGTAAAACGAGGAAGGAATAAAAAGAAGTGTTCAGCGTCCAGGAAGAATCTATAATTAGTGGAACACTGCATCTGTTGTCAAACTTAGGACGATTCAAGGAAAAGGCTCCTTGCTTAACCTCGCTCTCATGAGACCTAGTGTCTTGAAAATGAGACTGTCATGAGCCCATACACATACACACTTTGACTCACCTTTAGTGGCATCACCATAGTAACCAGTCGCGCACACTTCACAGTTCTTGCCAGCAGTGTTATGCTGACAATCGAGGCACTCCCCAGTCTTTGCATTGCAGTTAGAAGTGTCGTGGCCGTTACAGCGGCAAGGTCGGCACACAGGGAATCCCCAGTTCCGGGGGGGACAAAGATTGCACTGTCTCCCCCCTGCCTTGATTCTACACGTACACTGTCCAGTTTGAGCGTTACAAAGGTTGTCAGAAGCGCCAATACCATTACAGTTGCAGTCTATTAAATATTGAAGGGAAAATTTAGGTACTGGTGTACTCAATACTAAGAAAACCCGCATTTGATTGTACTTTTTAA